ATATACATCGTACACTTGTGGGAAACTCATTGATACTTTTTTTACGTGCTTCAATTGGATTTTTCACATACCTTCGGCAAAGGACGCAATGCAACAACATCGAAACGTTATATATTACTACTCGTACAGCTTTTGGTCCATAAAACATTCCGAGTTAAACGTTAAAGTTTTCTGTTCGCCGAATACACAGCTATACTCAAACATTTCTCCATTTCAGATCCCGTTCTTCGGAATTGAAATACAAGCACTCCAATCGTGTACCAACTTTACACCATTTCACACAAGCAACTGAAGTTCGCCGCTGGTACGCGAGGCGCGCGCAAACCGCATCGAAGTGAAGTAGGCAACTTCAACAGACAACTTCGAACCTCTACTTGCGCGCGAGTGGAGGCCCCCCTCCGTCTGTGTTCCGTTCCTGCTCCGGGCTCCGGTTCGGCCGTTGATCGAGACAAAGGTGTGATTATCTCACGTTTCTCCGCGACGTGCTCAATTGTGATCGCTACGTACATTCATTCATATCAGCTGTCACGAACGTCGACATCCACGAGACTCGGCGGTTTGATGGCCGTTTTAGGTGAAACGCGTGAGAAACATTTATGGGCATCGGTGACCCGAAATATCAAGAATCGAATCCTTGAAGAGAATCCCTTTGCCCTTCTGTGCCCGCTTTGATCCTCGAGAGCGCGCTTAACGATACTTCGTCGTTATATTGTTTTTTTTTTTTGGTTATGTTGACCGAGAATGAATTAGCGCAATCCGACAGTTGATCGTCTGCCACGTTCACGGCGACCTCGACCGGATTCTGATAAACTTAATTGGTGATTAACTTAGCTGGCAGAATAAATCCTGTTTTCTTAAAACAGGAGAATAGTTTTCAACTATGTAACTTGCTGTCCGTATTATAATCCTTTTCCATATGTTAAACAACAACAAATTAATAATTCTGTTATTAATAAGATAATATAGATATAAATGTTATTTGATAGGTTAATTACTGGTTAAGTCGATTAGAATTTGATCTGAAATCAGTTTTAATTTTGTTAATTATTAGTGCTTCATTAAAAGAAATATATACTTTGACGTGTCTTTCTTGTACCTTAATGCTGTTTTTCTTTTAATTTTCTTTACTGTTTTTTATTTACTAATTGCAGAATAATTTAATATTATATATGGCATAATGGAATATCACATCTTGGATGTTGTTTTTGCAGGAGCATTTTTTTCACTGAGTACTGATGGCTGTCAAGGGACTAGTCTCGTCGATTGTCAAGTTTCTGACAGACCAATTGCAAGATGGCGATATAACTGCTGATTCACGAGAGAGTTTGGAAGTAGCAATCCAGTGTCTGGAGAGTGCTTATAATGTGCAAGCTTCTGATGCCCCCGCAAATGTAAATCTGTATCAAATTTATAAAAATGCAGTGGAGAATGCCGCGCCAGTTCTGGGTCCAGAAGCTACGCCGGAAGCAAAAGCTGAAGCAGAAAGATTGAAAAACGAAGGCAATACACTTATGAAACAAGAAAAGCATCATGAAGCACTTGCCAATTACACAAAGTATGCATAGTTTTTCTTTATTAATTTAAGTAAATATTGTTTTTTTTTTTAACTTAAGCTTATTCGTTTACAGGGCAATAACATTAGATTCTCGCAATGCAGTGTATTATTGTAACAGAGCTGCCGTTCATAGCAAACTTGGTAATCACACCTTAGCCATCAAAGACTGTAACACGGCGCTTTCTATTGATCCGTCATACAGCAAGGCATATGGTCGGTTAGGTTTAGCATATTCAAGTTTGGAGAGGCATAAAGAGGCTAAGGAGAGTTATGAGAAAGCCTTAGCGATGGAACCGGATAACGAGAGTTATCGAAACAATTTGCAGTTGGCAGAAGAGAAATTGGCCCAATTAGGTGTCAATCAGTCTTTGCCTAATTTACCCGGCATGGACTTGAGCGCCCTTTTAAGTAATCCTTCTTTAATGAATATGGCGCGTCAGATGTTATCCGACCCAGCTATGCAGAACATGATGTGTAATCTTATGTCTGGTAACGTGGAAGAGGGTGGTCGCATGGAATTACTCATAGAGGCGTAAGTTTGATAGAATAGAATAAAATTTCGACATTTAGTTCGATAGATAATGTTATATTGATATACAACTCAAAAAATTGAAAAAAAGGTCATTTGCCAGTTGCTTGCAAAAAAAAAAAACGAAAACGTAAGGAAAAAAAAATTTTTATTTTTCTAAAATCAGTTATACATTAAAATTGCATTTTGAAATTAATATTATAAAATTTTAATGAATATTCAAAATATTTAAACTTATTTTCTGGAAAAAAATATTTTTTGAGTTGTATCCTTGTAGCAAATGAGTGATGAGACTTGTGTGGATTTTGTATGCGTATAAATATTTCAGAGGCCAACAATTGGCGCAGCAAATGCAGAACGCAAACCCCGAGTTGATCGAGTCGCTGAGACGGCAAATGGGCGGCAATCCGAATGACCCGGAACCACCGCAACAAAATTAAAGTACGGCTGGTTGTGTGATAGATGAACATGAACTTTATGGACATTATAGCTGACTTTTTTCTCATTCGTAGTTACAGATCAGTACATTGTATCGTTTTCTAACGAACGCCGTGAGGCAAGATTTACAGCTTCAATGATAATTCTATCATATATCTACGCGATAATGCGCGCATACCATAGAATTCATTTCATAGATTAGCCGTTACGGGTGCAACATCGGGCCTCTCTCTTCTTCTCATCTTCTCTTTAACTATTGTATAGTTTTTTATAGCATGCTACAGATTGAACGTAACAAAACGTTTTTTTAATGTCACAATAATTTGAGTGACTATAATAATTGAGCGATACCCCAATTTTCCGCATCATCCAGGGCATTATTTCTAGATCATGCACTGTATTACGAATGACAATTGCGCGTGAATTTATATAACACAACTGTTCATAATGTCTCGGTTGAATAACTGAACGTTTAATTGACGCGAAATATATACGAATTCATGATACCGACCGAATTGCAAATCATTGTTTAATATTTTATTCATATCATATTACATACATATATATGAAATGAATTGAACTTTTCTGTCAACGTTTTATAAATGCGTAATTATTGAATTATGCATGATTGTTGGTTGATGAAATCTTTGAACTAAACACAAAACGGAAACTTTTCCGCAGACTTTTTATCAGATTTACAATCTCACGTTTCTCGAATTTCTTAGCACGCAGCATATTGAAAATAATGACAACGTGCTAATACTAACAAACAAATTGTAATAAAAATTCGAGCATGAAGAAAATATTCGGATTTCTTTTCTATTATTTCGTCATATTTCTTCCAATTAGACAACTGAAAAATTTTTCACTCATTGTGAGATATTAATAGACAATTTAGAGAAAAAAAAACAAAAAAGTAAAAAATCAAAATTACAAACAAATAAAAAGTTTCCGACAAACACACTCGTCTTTGACTTGTGCTGTGAGTTACTAAAGAATCCTTGATAGAACCGATTACATCTCTTGTTTCTTTTCTATTTATTTTTTTTTGTTTTTTTGAAGGGGGAAGCGATTTCGATGTGTTAACTGAACTAGATAGAGACAGAGACGCATGCAAGTGTAACTCGCGCGATGCGCTTTCTATCCGTAAGAAGAAAGGAAGCTGCACGCGCAATATATCGCGGTCAAAGAAGCGTAGCTTATCAGCGGTATTTTTGTAAGATGAGCGTTCGCAACGCGTTGATAATCAACGGATACGATTTCTTCGGATGAGATGCGCGTACATACGTAGGTTTCACGGCCGTATTCCTCATATTCCACGGGTTCGGGCCGGCTGAGCATGAGCGCCGGCCAATTCCACGTGCGTCACGCGATGACATCATTCTTATTTGGCCACTACGCGCGCGCGCGTATTACCTACATCCGCGCACATACACTTTTACAAATACGCACGCGCAGACGATATATGTCGGTTATGATTGTTTATTGATAAGAGAACGCACAAGCGTTGATCCGTGATTAGAAGCGGATAACTCATAGATTTTCTTTCGGATCAGCTGATTGTCAAAGTCCGTTCGCGAATAAAGCGCTGTAAAGAGCTACTTATTGAAAAAAAAAAGAATCGGAACTATGTATGAAGCTCTCCGTATATGAAGAATTCCGAATTACTCATTAATTCGAATCTTTACTTCTTCAAACGTCATCACCGAGAAATCCCGTCTTCGCGTCCTTGAATTCCTCCGTAAAAGAAAGGAGAGGGATAGGAAGTATAACGCTCGAAACCATTTCATTTCGCAGGCAATTGGGGGGGGGGGGATTCTTGATGCCGGCATTTATTTTATCCGACTGATAAGCCGGTTAAAATGACATACTACGTGCACGCACGCACCTCTCACGCATCAGCGTGAAATTGATTCGTTGCTTAAGAAAAAAAAATCTGCACAATTGGAAAAGTGTAGATACGTAAATTTCTTGTGTATTAATCCTTCGCGATTATGATGTAATTATTAAATAGGTTTCTAATTTTTCTCTCTTGTAACGATAAAAAATTTCGAAAGATTACTTTCTATAATATTTGAAAACTATATCTTTTTTTTATATCGAATAACTAATTTTTATTCTTTACTAAAAATGTATGCAACTACATATTTTTCTGATGTTTCCGTCGCAATATCTTTAATTCGAACGGTTTTAAAACGCAAAGAGAAATGTAGATTCAAGAAATACTTCGAGCATTTTCATTTATCTAAATTTTGACAAATTTCACATTACGTGTCGCAACAAAACGTGATTACGACAGTAAATGGCCGCAAATGCAACGACACGGTGGAAGGACAGCCGCTTATTTACATATTTTCCAACCCTTTCCGTCATCCACCTACAAGTGGCGGTACGAAGCGAGAAGCGTGAAGTGTGCGCAACGTTCCTTCCACAGGTCCGTGACGTGCGCGGTGCGCGCCGGTAACACGTGATTCGCCGGTTTCGGAAACAGGGCTGGAGCGAGGTGTCGTGAGTGGCGGGCGCCACGAGGCCCCGAAAGCGGCGGCGAATTTCCAAGTGAATCCCGCCGCGGTTTTTACGATCAATAATTGATTCTCGTGAAAATCAATTGGAATTCGCAAACAATCGGTGGAAATATATGCCACCAAATACAGGTTCTTTTGCATCTTCAGATTTTTCTATCCTCGTTCCTTTTTTTTCTCCATATTATTTAGGCACCGCTCACAATAGAAAAAATATTAGGAACAGGATAAATATTAAATAGAAATAAAGAAATTAGAAATAGAAGTTAAATATAATGCACAATAGATAAGACATTTATGTATCTTTATATCTTATTTGTTTTCATTTATTTAATCATTTAAGCTCTATTTCTAATTTTTTATTTTTAATATTTAATATTTATTTTTGTTCTTAGTATTTCTTTCATTGTATGTTTTATCCTTTTAATTTTTTAGTGCAGGAAGTGCAACATATAGATTACAGATAAGATGTAGATAATGTGTTGGAATTGAGTAATTATTTTAATATCTGTCCATGCAAATGTAATTTATTGTTATTAAATATGCTTATAAGAATCATTTCGTTGGAAAAAGTCATATAATTATAATCAATTAATTAATCTTTATTTTCGATTTATCGAAAACGTCACGTCACAAGACATGTTAAGAATAATAAAAACATATTAAAAAATAGTATTGCATCGCGCGAAATCAATGTTCGTTTACCCTAATAAATTTAAAATCATTGACCCGGTTTCGCGAAACGACAATCGCCCTTAAGTACAGTGACGTTTGGCACGTCCCTGAGACGAGCTGAAGTTGCCGCCGTCGCCGCTCAGCCCCACCACCGCGGCCATTCGCCGTACACTCAACAGATTGAGGTGTGGCCATCGAGGGCAGCCATTTTCTTGATTTTCTGTCACAAGATTTCAGGTAAATACGCAAATATATCTTAAATTAACGCCGACCGGAGTGGTGAGAGGGTGCGTGGTGCGTCGTGTGTGCGGACGTCGCGAGCGTTTTCCAGGCGCGTTGGAGATCCCACTGGGACATCGGACTTCTCGAATACGGTGCTAAAAAAAGGGAAAAAAGGAGCCTCCTCCTCCTCCGTGAGCGAGTGAGGAAGAAAGAAAGAGAGGGAGAGAGCGAGAGACGGGGATAAGTAGACGGGGGGAGAGAAAGAGAGAGAAAGAGAGAGAGCGAGTCGCGCCAGGAGCTCTCGAGGGAGTGCCATGCGTCGCGAATCTTGTCCGCTTGGTATCACCGCACGGCGAAGCGCGCTCTAAGTTCGAACACGGGTGTCTCGATTCAACGCGCAAGTTCGATTCCGCGTTCGATCGTGCGCTTGCGATTCGTGCTTAGTCTACATCCACGTCGTCATCGTTATCTTGGTCGTCGCCGTCACCGCCGCCGCCACCACTGCCGCGGAGCCGAGCAAGTAAATCCGTGCGACGGAACTCTTGGAATGTTCTCGGGCTCTACCTGACACTACGTGGCCGTTTAGTCCAGTAAGTAAACGCCTATTTCGCTCTCTCTCTCTCTCTCTCTCTCTCTCTCTCTCTCTTCTTGCGTTTGAATTAAATTGCGCGGTGTCTGTAAACGTGCCGCGACTATTGTTCCGTGTGTATCCTGTTACGCCACGCACTCTCGTGTCTGTCGCTTCCCTTTTCTTCTTTTCCCCCGAGTTCTCGCGAGTGATGCGAGTTCTTCCAGAAAAGGAAAACCGTGTGAGTGCAGTTAAAAGGAACAGACACCTTGTGCTTTTATCATTTCGCCTCTCGACCGGCCCTCCCTCTCTCCCCCCCCCCTCTCTCCGCCCCTATGCCAAAATCGTAATTGTGCGGCTGATCTACGATCGGCTGACCGTCTCGCCTTCGTGACAGCCGTCTTGATCGTGCCGGATATTGCCCGACGACGACATTTCTTCTCCCTCCACCTCCCCCGCCCCCGCGTAAACAAATTCTGAGGTACGTGCGCGCTTCTGACGTGACGCGATTGCGCCGCGAACGTGCCCAGCATCGTCCGGGGAGATCCCGGAATCCCTACGTGCCATTCTCGATTCCGCTCTCGCACCGCGCTCCGCTTTCTCATCCGCGTAAAGTCCTCGGGGAGGATTTTCGCGATCGCGGTGAAGAGGAAAGGAGAGAGAAAGAGAAAGAGAGAGAGAGAGAAAGAGAAGAGAATTCGCGACGGCTAAAAGGAACGCGCTCCTAAATTACCGAGGTCTGTTACTCTCGATCAGCACTTTCTACACCTCGCCTCCTTTCTCCGTGTCGCCGCGAGTGCGCGCGTACGAGCATCTCGTATACGCGAGCGAGTGCAGGTGAGTGCAGATAGAGCGAGCGAACGGGCGGACCTGTCGAACATCTCGAACGTTGGTGGCGTCTCCCGAGAATCCCGCGTCATCATTAGCGTCTTCTAGGCACTCGCGTCATCGATGGCGTCCTGAGTATCCGCTACGAAATTTCTCGTCTTTTTCTCTCTCTTTCCTACGCGCGCGCGCGCGCGCGCGCGCGCGCTTTTCTCTTTCGTCTCCGCGACAGTGCGACCTTGGCCGTTGCTCGCTATCCGTCCTCATCGTGGTGGAAAGTATAGGTTAGTTTAGCCGAGAGATACACTCCTTAGGTCTCGTTCGTTTTAGACATACTTTCTTAAACTTTATAATATTCTGTCTATCTATCTATCTTTCTCTCTTTCTCTTCTCACTCTCCTTTAAGATGTTTAGATGCGAAAAAGTGTGAAAGGAGATCTAGACAGAGAGGTCTGTCCCTTTTAACTCTACGTTTCCTCTCTTTCTCTATGATTCTACCTTCTCATCTTTACAAAAACCGCGAGTACGTCTTCCTTTTGTTTCAAGCACAGAGGGTGTAATGAGTGACAAGCGCGATTGAAAGGAACACATACACACACCCCTCCCGAGGTAGCAATATTGTCGTCCTCGTAGGAGAGGCGCTCGGCAACTGGATTTAGGGGTCATCAGAGGTGACTGCTGCATGTCTTCTGACGCCGATCGCGTGCTCGTCCTCGTGGAACTCTATGTTTCGAAGAAATACACGAAAGGGTTGGTCCCAGCTTGACGTACAATATTCTATCGACACTCGTTTGATATAGCGGCATGTACTTTTTTTTCTCTTTTTCTGTTACACACACACTGTCTCTCTTTCTCTTTTTCTCTCTCTCTCTCTCTCTCTCTCCCCCTTTCCGTTAAGTTGTGAGCGACGTGTGTAAATTGCGAAACAAAGGACTCATTCCTGCGTGTCGAGAATATTCGTGATATCGACGTGGACGCGATCGTCCGTCGC